TCAGGGAGGAATCTGATTGGCCGTTGATATGGAATGTGCAGTTCAATCTTAGCCAGAATTCCTGGCTTTCGGCAACGGATTATCCCAGAGCCTTCGTTTCCTTCCCGAGGATCGCAGGCTCGGGGAACGAGATTGATTTCTTTAGTGTTTTCTTTTCGCAGAAAACTCAGACTAAAATAGTAGTTTACGCATGATTTGATCAACATCAGAATTCAAGTGTCAAAATAGTAATGCACAGTGAATAGTACAAAAATTATACAGTACACGGCAACAAAGGCGTCGTTGCCGCAATGATCCACGGCATTTTGTTGTCCCTCTACAGCAATTGCCGCGATAAAATTCGAGCCCTGGACTCTCTTTGCTTCTTTACACGAGCGCTGTGATGCCAGAAAATCCCGCCAAAATTAGTTATACCGATTTTCGGTTGATGTCCGAGTTGACAATTGAAACGTCGCTTGCTCGCTAGTAGGTATACAAAAACGCTTAACGTTAATGGGAATGCAATGAAAACTGGCATGAGGAAAATAAGTTTTGTTTCAATTACTTATTTAGGCTCGTGAGGCGGTAGAAATGCGTGCACAGTTAGAAAAGAAAGTCGCTCAACGAGAGAAGGAAAAGCAGGAAGACAAGTTAAGGAAATTGGCGCAAAAAGCTCGCGACGCCAGGGCTGGAATACAGAATGCATCCGATAAATCTCATGATGAAAAGGAACGCGACCAAATGCGATATGAAAGACATAAAGATCGAGAAAAAGAACGAAGAATTGCTAAAGCCGCACCTGATAAAAGGTAAGCTAACCAGATCTATTCAGACGTGATGTCACAACACATGATTCCACGTAATTGTTTGAAATCCGCCATTTTGAGTGGCAAATGCTTAATGTTAAATTAAAACATACTCGGAGTCGATGAGCCGTCAAAGTTTCGCAGGTTTGCTTCGGTATAGAGATGCTGTCTATCGCCTTTATTAAACATGCTTAATACAAATTCAGAACGGCAATTTTCTGAAGAATTTTCTCAAGCATGGCATGACGTAATATTCCCGCGTGACTGCACACTGTTGCAGTTTAAATCATGGCTGTTGTTTCTGGACGATTTCATTTCGGTTATACAGAAGTGTCATTTCTTGAAAAATTGCTCTGACTGTTGTACCGTACCAAAGTCATCCCGCTAGCTAAACTGAACCTAGGGTTAGGAACTTAGGGAACATACTGTATATTTTCTGTGCAACACTAACAACACGACACTGCAGACAATATTAACATTGATGAAGTATGCGAAAGACATTTTCCAAAATTTTGAATTTTTTATCGCTCTGATTTCGTCCTACTCTGATCTGATGGTATTTTCTTCAGGTCGAAACTTCAACGTGATCGGGAACGTGACGTCACAGAAAAGATTGCTTTGGGAATGGCGGGTGGAGGCTCACAGTCTCAAGAAGCTATGTATGATCAGCGGTTGTTCAACCAAAATAAGGTAATGTTGTTTGATGCCCTCTGCAATGTAGGGCAATTTGTAGTGCTCAGGTTAAATCGGATTTTACTTGCTGAAAAAACCCAGCATCGAATCTAATCTTAAATGATAACCATATAAATAATAGACATAGAATGCAAACTCCTATCGTTTCTCAGTAAAAATTTTGTCCCCACAAAATGGCGGATTTGTGAGGACGTTTTGGCTCGTCCCAATCTCGTGTGGCAAGGAATTTCGCGCGGTTGCGGGGAGTGCGAATTTTTTTTTTAAAAAATATGTTCTGGAATTACGTTCCTTAACTTCCTTCTCGTTCCTGATGCGTTACAAATTTTGTGCCAAACATGCTGTGTCCGAACGCTTCCAAATCGTGTTTAAGATGCAACCCACACGTTTTCAGACCGCAACTGCGACGTAATTACGTCAGGTTAAACATTAAACCATGTTAAATCGTCTTGTTCTAGGGTATTGCATCGGGTTTTGGCGAGGATGACGCGTACAATGTTTACGACAAACCCTGGCGTGACTCAGGCAGTACAGCTAACGCTGTGTACAAACCATCAAGAAATAATGATAAAGATATTTATGGCGATGACTTGGAGAAATTGATGAATACAGACAGGTAGGATCACCGGAGCAAACTAGCCTTCGAGGACAGCTTGTCTTCTCGAAATATACCATTATTTAACAAATTTAAACATTTTCTGTGTTGATATACAGTTATATCAACACGAGTGGAAATTGGGAAAACGAGAACCAATTTCCACGAGTGTTGATATAACTGTATATCAATACGGAAAAAATGTTTTATATTTGTTTTATAATGTAGCACAAAGAAATATAAAGAAATTTTCCGACGTTTCCGTGTTGACATTGAGTTATATCAACACGTCTCTCATCCAATCAACGTTCAGAATTTGCAAATGCTATATTATAATTACCATTATAAAACACATCGAGTTTTCACCAGAAAGCTGAGGATTGAGAAGGATTCGACTACCTGCAAATACAATAAAACGTCGATGTTTCAAGAGTTAATAGCCTGACGTTCCTAACTTCCTGACGAAGGGCCTTCGCTGGCGAAACGTCGACGTTTTGCTTGTATTTTTCAGGTAGTTGAATCCCTATCAATCCGCAGCTTTCTGGTGTCTTGTCACTTCCTACGCAGACACAAACCGTTCATGTTTATATCACATTACAGGGTGTCCACGGGCCTTGAAAATCCTAGAACGTCCTTGAATTGGAAAAACAAATTTCAGGACTGGAAAGTCCTTGAAAATCAGTAGAAGTCCTTGAAAGTCCTGGAATTAATTTCCTTAACCTACAGCTGTGCCAGCATTAGTGATTTTGATAATAAAGTGGATTATTTTCAAAGATTTTTCCCAGTTCTAGGTCCTTGAATTTACTGAAAAAGGGTCTTGAAAGTCCCGGAAAAGTCCTTGAATTTCACCTTCACCAAAGGGTGGACACCCCGCATTAGGTTTTCTACTTTTTCGTCTGCTTGCCACGTTTTCGTTTCGCATTCTCTTTACTCCTTAGTTCAGGTTTTTTTATCATTTCACGTTGCAGGTTTCAACCTGATAAAGAGTTCGCGGGCACCGACCGCAATGTACGTCGGGATGGCCCGGTGCAGTTTGAAAGAGACGAAGAAGATCCGTTCGGATTGGACAAGTTTCTCACTGAAGCTAAAAGAGCAGGAAAACGAACCGCTGACGAACCAAGGGGCAGCAGGTAATGGTTTTGTGTATTGGTGGTTTTAGTAAGAGATGGTATAGGCAGCTCAGTTTAGATCTCTATTTATCTGGAGCGAGTAATTCAGTCATTTGGCCTATGAGAAAAGTGAAGCCAAAATGGTGGACATTGACGTCCCATAGCTACAGTATGCAGGTTGTAAACAGTTTTAATACCATTTTCCCCAGCTATTTTTCTGGGAAACGGACCGCATCGCTAAATAAGTTACTAGTTCATAAACCTAATAGCGTTATTCTTTAAATAGATATCAAAATACCAAATTTCGCCACACTCCTTGCCCGCTTAGTCTTAACCGCGCAGACTAAAACAATAGAAAGGGAGTGGAACTGACGTCCAACAGCTCTTCATCCGCCATCTTGGCTTCACTTTTTGGACTCGAGTTCTCACTCCAGATATATATATATATGGAGCTCACTGGGTCAGCTTCAGAAAGGTCAAGACTTATACGAGCGAGCAAATTGTAGCACCATTCACTGCATGATATAGTAAAACTCCGTATTATATTTGTGAAAGTACCAGGGTTCGTACAAAACTTGAAAGTCCTTGAATTTGTAAAGAAGTGCTTGAATGTCCTTGAATTTTGTTGAACTGATTTTGCATGTTCGTATCTGACCTCATTAAAAAGTTCTAACGCCTTCTTCTTCAGTATGTAGTCCTTGAATTTGCTGATACATGGCCTTGAACGTCCTTGAAAAGTCCTTGAATTTGACTCTTCCTGACATGTACGAACCCTGATTAGTACTGCTGTTTTACCCAGTTTAGAACTGATAGAGGTATCCAGTATAAATACATAGTAGTTTGAACGTCGTAATGTCTTGACAATCCGTTATTTTTCCTCAGGGACGCAGACAATCGTAAACGAAGCAAGCGTTAAATGTCTAGTATGCTTCTGGGAGATTGTACGGAATTGCGAGTACAGACCTTTCAAGCACTCCAGCGTGTTCTGTGCGTGCATCATCGAGCCAGGACAAGAGCCGATATTTGAAATGCATTCGGCGAAAGCCATATTGTAGGATAAACATTACTTTTGAAGTTGAAGCAAAAGAAAGTCAAAGTAAAGGCCACAGAAAAGTTGACTTTGAGGGAGAAATTGAAACTATTCACGATGGTTTTTTAGGTTTACAGTATTTTTATAAGAAGACTAACAAACATACCCAGGGTAAATAACATCAGAGAAATGTTTCATCGTACTTCTAAATTCATTTGTAAATATCGTTTAATATATCTGGGGACACAGCCTTTTCTCGACCTTTATGAAAAGTAGACCTAGTCAGCTAACGCATAATATGTACATGTTGCCACCCAAATCACATTTTCTTATACCTCACATTATACAATTACTTTATGGCTTCCGTGTTTGGATGGCCTGATCGAAACACGCGGGAATGTTGCGAGAGTTAAAAAAGCGCGCGAAACACGAGCCGAAGGCGAGTGATTTTGCGCGCTTTTCTTAACTCGAGCAATATTCCCAAGTGTTTGGATCAGGCCATCCAAACACGGAAACCATAAAGTAATTATTTTATAAAATAACAACTTTCCGTGTTAAAATTTCACTTTAAAAAACTTTCACTTTAAATTTCCGTGTTTGGATGGCCTGATCCAAACACGGGATTCGACCAATCAGAGCACGCGTTATATACATGTTATTTTATAAACCTAGTTACCATTGTCCTGATACGTGAGCAGAACGGAACAAAGGTAACCGTAAGTTTAACCAAAAATTTAAATGATATATTGTGTGAATTGAGTGGCAACACAATCCACTATTACAACAGTTTACGTGAACGGGACTACCTCGCGCAAAAAGGTTCATAGTAATTATAGTTGTTTTTGACCTTGACGTATACAGTGTAGTTTTGATTTAGGCGCGTGAACAAAGCTTGCCAAATTCAATCACAAATTTTTTTTAATTACACGCGATGACTCGTCGCATTGGCGGGCTTTGTTCAGTTGTCGACGTTTATGATATTGAATTATGCGCGCATAAATGTCGAAAACAACTATTGCAATCAACCTTTGCGTGAGGTGGTCGCCTATCATGTTAAACTGCTGTAATATAAAAAAAACAACTAATGTTACCACGGATACCACCGTGTTGTCAAAGCCACATGTAGAAACGATTGTTTCAATATTCGACCTCGAATTGTAAATGTGTACGAATAAATCTTGGAAATAAAAAAATAGGTACGTAAAGCGTACATTCTCTTTATTGTAAACAGTGAAACCAGAAATTACACTCGGATGACATGGATAATATAACATTTAATTTATTACAAAATTAATCACCTATATATAATGGGTCAGTACCTACCTATATGAACAGCCTTTGTGATTGATTGGTTAGGACAATAAAAGACAAACTATAATCAAACACAGACAAACTATATCAATCATAAACACTGGACACTTTTGTTTTAGAAAACCAACCACAAAATGTGTTTATATGAGGTAGGTTCCTACCGTATATAAATCCAGATCCTTAGTATACATAAAAATAATCTCTAAAAACCAAGTACGCTCAATTGTGCGTGCGAAAATAAACCAATATTTAATTGGTCAAAATAGTGCATACTATTATTAGTTATGTAACTAGTACCCAGGTCTCTTATGACGAGAGTCCACTGAGCTATAAACATAACTGTAATATTATGCACTACAAAGTATTGACAATCAAGAGAAGTATTTTCCACAGCCACACTGTGGTCAAAGCACTAGACAAAGTCTAACTTTGAACACACAGTTCAGAAGTGTACTGCTCAAGTCAATCGTAAAAGCCTGTCTCACATGATGAAACAAGCATGTGAATCAGTTGTGAAACTATTCACAAAGAAAACTCTTGTGCTTTTTATTTCATCCAGGTGAAATAAATATGCTATTTATTTCATCCATGTAAATTAGCATGAAATAAGCATAATCACAAGGCATTAATTAAACACAGGTGCACAAGTTGACACTGCTTTTCCGGCAGTTTCTGATTCTGTCGTACAAGTTACTAAATGAAAGCCCAAACCAAAAAAAATACATCTGGTTAAAATAAATGAATAATTAATATATACAAAATATATTATGTTTGAGTTGTTAAAAGTATCAATTAAAAGTATAATATCATGAGAATATATTTGACAGCAATGTTTACCAGGTTTATTTCAAATTATGTTTCCAAAATTTGGACACTGTATACATGACAAGTGCACCAGTACTCGTTCCTATGAGGACTGCCCCAGCCCAGGAGTTTATAAAGTTCTTCACTCGTTCTCCAAATGTTGCACCACATGATACATTGTCTGTTGAAAGTTGAGCCTGGAAATAAACATGTATTTTTGCCCATTGAATGCCTAAGTATGAAAAATTCCTACTGTGATCACAGCACTTTGATTAACCAGCCTATAGACATGAAAGCACGATACTTACAACCAATAATTGTTGAGCAAATTTTTCTATTGTCAGTGTTATGGATGTGCCAGCTTTTCGGAATGCATCCACAGCTTCTGAATGTGTTACTTCAAGTAAACTAAAGTCATTTATCTAAACACCAAAAACTAATTGATGATATTTACAATATCTGAAGAGGGGTGTACACAGTTCTTGTTAGGGGAAGAATGCATAAAGAGGAGTGTTCAACGAATGCAAGAGGGTGGTTGAAATTTCATCCAAGAGGAGGGAAGAGCTGTGTGCCGGAGCCCAGCATATTTTGCCGGAGCTGGAAAACTCCAGCAGACAAAATTATGAAAAATTATTTCATATTTCAATGAACTTTTGGTAATTAATAGAAAAATTAAGTTGAATGATTTGAAGTTACTATAAAGTTTAATTACTTGCTCCGATCCGTGGCTTCAAAAATTCTGCAAGTGCATTGCCATCGCTTTTGATACAAAAATCTGCTGACCTCGATGTATTTTGGGCAAAAATACCATGCTGCCATACGGTTTTACTTTCAACAAAACATTGTTTAAACAAGCACCAAAGCACATACTATATTTGATAAGTAAAAAAGAAAGCTCAACTGAAATTACACTGAAATACTTTCGCCTGCTTCTACTTTTAAATATGAAATTTCCTTGCCGGAGCAGGAGCCGGAGTTTTGACCGCCGGAGTTTGCACAGCTGTAGGAAGGGTGAAATAACCCAGGGGGAGTTGTAATAACTCAAATTGAAATACCCAAACTTTGGGCCAAAGGGAGATGGGTTGATATAACCAAAGAGGGGGTTGATATAACCCAAGAGGGGGAAAGGGGTTTGGAACAATCAAAAGGGTGTTTGACATACTTAAAGAGGGGGGGGGGGTGAAAAACCCAGGAAAGAGATTTGAGAGACATGTGCATATTCAGTTCATTAAGAATAGCATTGAAATTCTGATTGTATATTCAAACCTGTAACAATCGATCGCCAACATCTAACTGTCCGCAAGCAATAGCAGGACCGTATGTGTTTATTGAGGAAATAAAGATACTGGTATTGTTTCCAAACTCTCTTGAATCTGTTCCACCAACAATATTTAAACCGAAACCCTCGCCTAGAAATGAGAATTTTGTTTTTAACCCATTTCAGCATCAGCACTCTCCCCTTGACGAGTAAAATCATCTGGCATTAGACAGAGTAAAACAATAAAGTAGAGTGCATCAGGGTGCAATGCCGCTTAAAAGGTTAATTCTAATGTTGTTATACCTAGAAAATGCAAGGTATGCAGGTTATTGTGATTGCGGGGGAGATTCCTACATTTTCCAGGTATATAGTCTGTATGTTAAGGGGCCACTTCCATCATATTCATGTTGCCACGCATAACGTCGAATCGACATTATGGGTAGGTGGGTTTTTAACGTCAACTCCTCGACGTTATCTCGTGGCAATTTGACTGTTTACATCACAACAGACCGAAATTTAAAAATTTAATGTTTGCCGTGCAATTTTTGCCAGTATTAATATATTATTTTCAACTAATATAGGCCAATACAAAGGTCTAAGTATTGAAGCAACATTTTTTCGTGTCAATTACCCGTCAACTTGTGTACGCGAATCGCGACATTTTTTTGTGAGACGAATAGTTAGTACGAAAATAGTAAAACATATCCTATAAAACTTCCCATATTTTATAAGAGGCACTTTTGCCATTTTGATTTTGAGCTCTTTTAGTGGTCAAAATACGACAGGGTAACGATCGACGTTATCTGAGGTGGGTGGGTACTGGTGATAACGTCGATTCGACGTTATGCGTGGCAACATGAATATGGATGTGGCCCCTAACCTAAAACCGTAAATAGAATAAAACCGTAAATAAACTAAAACCGTAAATAAACTAAAACTGTAAAACACCTCTGTGGAGAAAAGACTACATTTAGAGGTTGATAATCTATCCAGTAAAATGTCGGTTCAGTCGAAACATTGAGATCAATGCCAAATTATTGTTTATGTTTGTAAACTTGCTGTTTTACTAGAACATATAATGCCAAATTATATCATATATACTTAATTTTAATGTATCTTGAAACAGAAAATATTTGTAATATATCAGATAAATTGACATAAGGTTTATTATCAGCTTACTATAAAGTGGAAGTCAGAATTAATTAGACTAAAAACTAACAACTAGGCCAAATATGTGGGGTGAGGCTGACATACCTGCCTTTCGTATTAGCGTTACGTCCAAAACTGTTCCCGGTTGAATGTCTTGTTCGGGTTCTTCGACAGAAAACATGCCTTCTTCTTAGAAAACGGTCAAAAAATTCTTGCCGTACAAACAATATCGCTGATAATATACAGATACATCAAATATTTGAACCTTTTGTGAAGTAAGCAAATTGGGAAACTATGTTCGAGTTTACATGAAGTATCTTAACGTGTGGTTGCCTGCATTGCGGGTATTCATGAAAAATTATTTTTGCACTGTTGCATGAAACTTTGAGAAATTTTAGGTAATGATACGTTTCTGATTTACTTTACTTACTGTAGGCACTATAAAGTGTGTAAGTAATCTAGTTTAAATGAAACTTTGCAAGGAAAGAGTTTTCAAAAAGTTCAAATTACAAATATATCCATGATATTAATAGATTTAATATTAGATTTGCGCGCTTCACTACTCAGGCAAACGCCCATGACGTCGTCAAAAAAGAACAAGGAAACCGAAGGCGTTGAAAAATACACAAAGCTGATCTGTTGGAAAACATTGGAATTTTTGTGAAAATATCATAAGTAAAGCTGTGATCATGGAATAAATTTTGGTTACTATTGGTGTTTGATTATAACGTAACGATCGCCCTTCGGCCGTATTTGCTATACTCGCTTTTATAGTAATTCGTGTATTTTATTGCCATGGATGCAATGGTATTAAAAATTCGTATCATGAATTTTGTGATCGTATGTATGGTTTTGTTGTGTTGTTTGAATATATCAGAAGGTTTGTCTGTTATTAAATAACCTTTCTATGGGATTATGAAGTCTGATCATTGCTTTAGTAGTTTAATATTTGTTGATGTTTAAAAGTTTTATAGTTGCGATGTTAGTCAAATATGAAAATATTTAAAAGTAGTGTTGGGTATACCCTTGTATCCCCAGGCAAATTTGTTCACATGAAGCAAAAAACCAATTTTGGCAATGTGATTGGTCAGCGAAATTTAAAGTAAAAATTTAAACCAATTATCACCATTTAACAAATCATATTGCCTGAATTTGGTATTTTCTCAAAAGTGTGAACAAATTCACCAACTGGAAAACAGGCTTAGGGGCCACGTCCGTATTCATGTTGCCACAAATAACGTCAAATCGACGTTTTTTCGCCCACTCCAGATAACATCAATCGATATTCAGTTGTTGTATTTTGACTTTCGTATTTATGATACAAAATCTGTACTGTGATAGTTACTTTGGACATTAATTGCCAAGATTCTTTTTCTGTGTTGGTGTTATGTACTCAGGTAAATGTATGATGTTTGTGATGTTACTCTGAGTGTATATCCACACCGGGCAAGCTTGAAAAATATGCCTGGCTGCCGTGGCCAGGCATATGTATTTTTCAAGGTTGCCCGGTGTGGATATACACTCAGAGTAACATCACAAACATCATTAATTGTCAAATTGCCACGAGATAACGTCGATAAGTTCACATAAAAACCCACCCATTCATAACATTGATTCGACGTTATTTGTGGCAATATGGATGTGACCCCTATAGTCTGTGATGCACTGATATACTAAAATGGAAATATTGGTACCGGTAATTTTGTTGTTGATATTACCGATATAATAATATACATAAAAATATTACTTGACTGTGATTGGTTGACTTCAGTGCAGTTAATCCCAAACAGCAGTGCAATTTTTTGTAATCACAGTGCAATTTTCTGTGATCACAGTGCAATTTTTTGTAATCATAGTGCAATTTTCTGTAATCACAGTGCAAAAATCTGTAACAAACTAATCTGATTGGTGGAAAAACATGTGATGATAAAATCAACCAATCAGTTTAAAGCAGTTTAGTTTAAAGAAGTAACGGTCAGAGATTGCTTCAAAACAAAACAAACATGGTGCCGCGCTATACATAGTCATAGAGTAAAACTACAATTGTCTTGAACATTTTTATGTAAATTATTAATAAGTAATAGCATGGTTTCTCGTGAAATTTGGATAAACATGCACTCGTGAGTTTTTCAAAGACCTCGAATAGCACTTGTGCTATTTTGAAGTCTTTGAAAACATCACTTGTGCATGTTATATCCAAATTGCACTCAAAACCATGGTATCACCTATACTTACAAACTATTATTAATTAAATATTAATAATTGGTTATAGTTGCAGTTCAATAGTTGTTTTTATTACAAATAAACAGTCACTGCTGTAGTAATATACTCGTTTGTTGCATGCATTTGTTCACAGCATTTCATTTGATATTTTCAGTATTTAGAAACCAATGAATTGAATTAAATTCAAAAGTATTAAACTGTAGGGGTGCACCGGATTTGGAATTTTCAAATCCGGCCGGAACCGGATTTACCGGATTTAGACAAAAATTCCGCCGGATTTGCCGGATTTGAGATAAACCGGTAATGGGGACAATTGGGGATAAATGAGTATTCAAAATGGCGGTTTATGTTTTTTACTATTTTTAGTTAGTGTCAGTTTAGATTTTTGATTGTGTTTAAACCTTTTTTAAATATCTTTTTGTTAATAACTTAATATTTTATAATAATATAAGTGTTTTATAAACTTTAATGCTGCCAAATTGATGGTTTATCCCATTCTTGGTGATTTTTTTAAGGTGAAAACAGAAATTTAAATCCGGCCGGATTCTTTCCAAATCCGGCCGGATGCCGGAAAATTCGTTAAATCCGGCCGGAATTCCGGCCGGATTTGAAATCCGGTGCACCCCTATATTAAAGTTGAACTGTCTTGATGTCATCTTTGAATTTTGTGAAATGACATAGAATATCAGTATTGGCAAAATATTGGTCCTTTAATTAATATCGGTTATCGGGATATTGGTGAATTTCCATATTGGTGCATCACTACAGGCTTATTAAAACTTGGATGGCCCTGCCTGGAAAATTTAGAAATTGCACACCCGGGATTTAAAAAATTTCTCTGACTAATCGGAGAACATTCAATAAATAATCAATAGGAATTTGCTAATAGTGCAATAAAGATTTTTAGACAATAATTACTTACAAATCTGATTTTATTAGTTTATTGTTCTATTCCTTTGCCATTGCTTATATAAAGTTACCGGCAGTAAATTGGTAAATGCTTTTGAAAGCCCTGCTAGAGGAAGCTTAATATACTCTTTCGTTTCCTTGTCAAATCCAGAGCTCCAGAATCAAATTCTAAGCTTATAACTTGTTCTTGTAGCTAATAATTGCAAAGATAATCCATGTCCAGGTTACCAGTCACGATGTAACTGCCCAGGTGGGAATAGAGTGAAATTTCAGTGTGTAAATGGTCAATGGAGACCATTACCTTGTGGTAAGTATGATATGGTGTAACATGTTAAACTACAATGTGTTATGATGCACCTTACTACAGGGTTCGAATTAGAGAGAAAAAGTCACTAGCAATTTTTTTGCAAATTTTAAAATTGTTGCCCATAAAAATGATAAAATTATATTCTGCCTGTGCATTCTGGAATACTTGCTTTAAAAGCTGCATACAAAGACAGTATATTGTTAACAATTTACTATAAGTTGACAAAAAATTGACCCTTTGTGTATTTGATTGCCAATGGTTATTAAATTACAAGAAAGTGGGATTTTATATTCATGATGCACGAAGACCGCAATGTTTACAAGCTTGACAGGGCCTGGGACGACAAAATGGTGGCCAATTTTAGATCCTGAATTCATTGCCCAAATTGCAAAAATATTTCACCTATGTTTCTTTGTTTCACATTGAATGCAAAAATTGAAAATGACTACTTTTTATTATAAAATTTTGATTTGCAAAAAATAAAATTTTTGATTTGCAAATGCCTGCTTTTAGTAGGTTTCTTCTGCTTGCAAATTGCAATTTGTGACCTGCTAATTTGAACCCTGCCTTAATTTCATTAACCCATCGAGTTGCATCCTGCCCCAATGCACCCTACTTTATTATTTTACTCTGTCTAACACCAGACAATTTTACTTTTTACACACCACTAGGAGCTGCCATAGCATCAGCCGCAAGCCTGACAATTATTTATCACACAATGCTTGCTTTACTACAAACATACATTACATAGCCTGACCTGTCCATTCTAACTAACTTTTTTAATAAGAAAGAGTGGGCAGCAACAAAACTGCTTCTATCTAAGCCACAGTGAGTCTTGGTGCACTTAGTCCATTTAGGGCCTGTTCATATGATCCCGCTTACCGGGACGTCTCGCTTACCAAGACGAATATTTCTGTGCGTTCATATGGAGTATTTCGTCCTGCTTGCCGAGATGAAATTACATTGTAGTTCTATAATTAGCGTATGCAAAACTTCTACATTTCAGTCAAGCAACACAAATACTTGGCGATTTTAGTGTTTTTCTTCGTTTATTTACAAGAAAAAGTATTGCTTTAGGTGGTTATTTAATACTTGTTTACAAAACAAACATAAAACCAAGTAAAAAGTGTTAAATT